TAACATTTCCTGTTTCTGTTCCCTTTTCTGGTCTCAGATTTAATATCAAGGCAGTTCTAGTTTTTTATGAGGCAATCGTCAAAGTCTTATTTCGCAATGATATGAAGCACCAAAAGTGGAGCTGGCCCCAGCAGCTTACGTCAGCAGTAGCGCTCACATGTTACAGAATATCAGCGCCAACAATATGAAACGTTGTTGCAAGCAAACACGTTCTTCAGAGTTAATCACTCAGTGGGTAGCACAGCGCTGGCGAGGGCGCGCTTCACGCGCTGCTGCCGGAATCGTCAAAGTGCCGCCATGAACAATCGTACTGCATGAGACTGGCGCAATCCATAAAGTGTCTATCTTGCGGTGCTCACTACTTGGCGACTGCGACCACTGTTAATTAGCAGCAGGATAGGAACGACGAGGAAGGCGTGGAAAGAGCCGGTACAGACGACAAGCAGGCAGGTCTTCATGAAAGCTTGCGACACGTAGAGCTTGGTGAAGCTGAACGGTAAAACGCCGAGAATTGTCGTCAGACCACCCTGCATGACCGGCCATCCGACGGTGCCCAAACTGTGGCGCAACTTTTCGCGTGGATCAGTCGAAGGCGATTTGTAATAAAAGTGACAGATGTGTACCGCGTATTCGACGGCAAAGTCAAGGCTAATGACGATGTTGATGATAGAAACCGGGTCGAGGTCTACGTTCCACAGACACAGGAAGCCGATCACGCCGAGATCCATCGAGAACAACATCAGGCCGACCAGGAATATGCTCGAAGGTCTTGGAATCACACACGCACTCATCACCATCAGACATATGAACGCCGTGCTGACCGTTTGCAAAGTGTTTGGAACGATACTCGCAAGTTGATCGGTTACCATCGCCTGATAGCCGATGTCCACGACGGCGTCCAGTTCGGCGTACTGGTTGCAGATCTTGCGACACAGTTTCAGTATGTCACTCCATTCTTCGATGCCGACCGACGTGTGGAAGTTTGTTGTAAAGTAGAACTTCTCGACTCTTTTCTCGTCGTCGTCGGTTAAGCGAAGCTGAACGGTATAATGTTTCGACTGTAGTACGTCAAGAAATTCGGTGACGTGTTCGTAAAACTCGTCGCTTTGCCAGCCGTACAACTGCATGAAGTCCATGTAATTGCGCAACCAGAGGTTGGTCGTCTTCTCGCCTCCAGAGTATTTGGTGGTTTCGAGAGCACGAACGAAGTCTAAGACC